GTGGCATCGACAGAGCTAAAAGAGTTGAAGGTTTAAATCTAAGAGTTTCTATAAAAAGGGTTCATTCAACCAAGTATTTCTCATTGGGGAGTGTCGGTTCTCTTTGTCAAGATCAGTTGAACAAAATAATCATCAAGAACCGTTATCCCCTTCCCAAAATCGATAACCTCTTCGACCAACTTAAGGGAGCATGTGTTTTATCTAAGATAGATATGAGATATGAGTACTACCAGTCAAAGGTTTAGGAGGCAGATATAGAAAAGACATCGTTTAGAACAAGATACGGTCATTATGAGTTCCTTGTAATACTGTTTGGACTCACCAACACCCTTACGACATTCAGACCTCATGAATCAAGTTTTCCACCTATACTTGGACTAGTTCATGGTGGTTTTCATTGATGATATTTTGGTATACTCGCTATCAGAGGAAGAGCAGAACCAACATCTCCGTATAGTTCTTTAGACCCTTCAGGATCGATAGCTTTTTACCAAGTTCAAGAAATGCAAGTTTTAGTTGTCCAAGGTTTTGTTTTTGGGACATGTTTTATTAGTGAATGGTATTCAAGTTGATCCACAGAATATTCATGTGGTACTTGTGTGGGAGCTACCAAATAACATAATATAGGTGCGTAGTTTCTTAGGTCTATAGGCTACTGTCGTTGATTTGTAAAGGGTTTTACGATGTTAGCAGCCCAATGACTAAGTTTCTTCATAAGGCAGTGTCGTTTTGTGTGGGTTGAGAAACAATATAGAAGTTTCGAACAATTAAAACCCCTTCTGACCCAAGCTTCAATTTTAACCCAACCTAAGTCAGGGAAGGACTTCACCGTGTTTAGCGATGCCTCACTAAACGGCTTAGTATGTGTGTTAATGCAAGAGAAAAAGGTGGTGGCCTACCCGTCCCGTCAGATTAAGCCTCATGAGAGGAATTACCCCACCACAATTTAGAGCTTGCAGCCATAGTCTTCGCACTAAAGATTTAGAGGAACTATCTATTTGAAGAGAAGCGCTACATTATTATAGATCACGGGAGTTTAAAGTATTTCCTCACCCAAAAAGAGTTAAACTTGAGGCAACGTAAATGGGCTAAGTTGTTAAAGGATTATGATTACATTATCGATTACCACATGGGAAAAGAAAATATGTAACTGATACGTCGAGTCGAAAGTCGATGTCAAAGTTAAGAGCATTGCTAACACGCTTGAGTATATCTAGTGATGGGGATTTGTTAGGCGAGCTCTGAGTAAAACCCAAATTAGTAAGTTGGGTCAAAAGATTAAAAATTTAGACAGTCGTTTAAGGGCTCGCATGGAGCAAGTCCACCGAGGCGAGGCCCCAAGGTTCAAGTTACAAGATGGTGAAGTGTTGTTCTTTAAGGGTCATTTATGTGTGCCCGATGTGGAATAGTTACGTACTAAGATTCTTCACGAGGCCCATTATAGTACACTTTCACTTCACCCTTGTAGCAACAAGATGTACCAAGAGCTTCGACCTTTGTAGTTTTGATCGGGCATGAAGAGAAAAGTGTATGAATTTGTCGCAAAATGTCTAGTGTACCAAAGTGTTAAGGAAGAACATTAGGTTCCCTCGGGGTTGCTCCAGCTGATTCAGATATTGCAGGGGAAGTGACACATAGTAACTATGGATTTTGTGACTAGGTTACCGACGCAAACATGACACGGTTTGGGTGATAGTAGATCGATTGACCAAGTCCTCTAACTTCTTACCAGTTATAATGGACTCCACCTTGGAGAGGTTAGTGCAGCTCTACATCCGCAAGATAGTAAGATTGCATTGAGTCTTGACTTCGATCATTTCAAATAGAGACCTTAGGTTCACTTCACGATTTTGGAAAGCTCTTCCTGATTCCCTAGGCACCAAACTCCATTTTAGCACCGCGTTTCATCCTCAAACAAATGGTCAGTCAGAGCGTGTTATTCAAGTCCTCGAGGACATGCTTAGGTGCATCGTTATTGATATTGATAGTAGTTTAGAGGATCACCTACCTTTAGTGAAGTTCGCGTATAATAATAGTTATCATTTGAGCATTCAGATGGCCCTGTATGAAGCTCTGTATGGACGTAAGTATAGAACTCATCTTTTTTTTAACCGAGCTTAATGAGTGGAAGATAGTGGGACTAGATATGATTAGAGAAACTGAAGAGAAGGTTAGGGTAATTCATAGTAGACTAAGGGAGGGTATCAGATAGGCAGAGGTCGTATTAAGATTTGAAGCGCAAGGAAATTGAGTTTTTTGTGGGCGACAAGGTATTCTTTAAGGTGTGTCTGTGGAAGAAATTACTACGATTTGGACGTTAGGGGAAGTTGACCCTATGTTTTATCGGTTCTTATGAGGTGCTTGAGAGAATCGAACCAGTAAACTATCAGTTAGCCCTACCCCTAGAGTTGGAGCGCATTCATAATATGTTCCACATGTTCATGCTCAAGAGGTATCGTTCTGACTCTTCGCATGTCATATCCTTAGAGCAAGTTAAGTTGAGTCCTGACATGACCTACAAAGAGGAACTGATTTAAATTCTAATCAATGAGGGGAAAGTGTTAAGGAACAAGTAAATTCCCTTAGTAAAGGTTCTTTGGAGAAATCATGGAGTCGATGAAGCTACTTGGATAATTGAGGAAGACATGCAACTCCAGTATCTGCGTCCCTTTTATCCAATTAAAATTTCAAGAATAAAATTTCTTATTAGGATGGGAGAATTGTAATGCCCCGAATCTCGAGTTAGTAGTTTGAGTCAACCCTAGACCCATATTTAAAGACCAAATAACCTATTAGAATAGCTTTGATCAAGTTTAGTGATAGTTGGTTTGAGTTGGGTCCAAGATAATTATTGAAAGGTGATGAGTATTTTATGAAATTGAAAGTAGATGGACTAAAAGTTCAAATTTCTCCTTGTTGTTTGAAAATTCAAAACCCCCTTCCCTATTATAAGTTTTGCTTAAACCACTTCCCTTAACACCCACCAGACACTTTTCCTCTTCCCTTTAACTTTTCATCTTCCTCTTTCTTTCCAAAGTGAAGATTTCAAGCATTTAAAGTTTAGATCGTTTAACCAATGTGAGAATGTTAATCCCCATCCTTATAGCTTTAATTTAAGCCCAATTTCTCAAGTTTTACACTTAGTTCCAAAAATGGGTTTTTAGGAGGTTTAAGTTAATCTATGGATTCTAAGTTGTTTTTAATAGATTCAACTTATAAGAAGTGTCATTATTTTTAGTCCAACCACCTAGTTGATGTAGTAATTTCTTTTTCTTACCTTGATTAGTTAAAGAAGTGGGAGAAAGCTCAAAAGCAAGGGGAAAAGAGAAATTACCTCTTGAGTGATTTCAGGGCTTTACTAGCATCCAAGAATTTCAAGATAACACACTTACAACTTTTTCATACCATTTGGGGTCACTAGAAATGCAATGTAGTTTAAGGGTTAGTTTAAAGCATGTTGAGTGGATTTCATGGTAACTTATATGTTTAGTATTATTGCATGTTTCTAAGCCTTATTATGACCCCTTAAGATCACATAAAACTCTAACAATGGTCGGAAACCTCAATAGGGCGGGTGGTTTAAAGAGTCATTTATGTGCCTAAGTAAAGTATGTTTGGGCAGGAGTATTGGTACTGGAAGAACAATACCGATATTGTTCTTTAGAGGATAAAATATAAAGGGGTTTGTAAGCTATAAGTATCGATACTCAAGCAATGTGTATCAATATTGTAGGTAAGGTATCAATACTCGCAGGTGGTATCTATACTAGGATAACTTAACAGATTCCAGTAGCCATTTTTGGTATCGATACTCATGGGAGTATCGATACCAGTATTGATACTCTCAGTATGGTATCGATACCAAAACATTATTTCAAACATCAAACCCAATTTTAGTATCGAAAACTCATATGGTATCGATACCATGGTCGTGAGTATCGATACTAGACTAATTAGGACACCCGAGTTACATAAAAAGTAGACATAAAAGTATACTTAACAAACTTAACCAATCAGGACACCCGAGATACCATAGTCGTGAGTATTGATACTAGGATAACTTAACAGATTAATTAAGGTGACATAAAAGTAGATTTTTTTAATACTCTGGAAACAATCAGGACACCCGAGTTACATTAGAAATTATACTAGTATCGAGAAAGTACTTTTAGTCCGGATATCCTTAGCTAGTGCGCAAGGCACTTTAAAATAACTAACTAGGGCGCAAGGTCCGACACTCGCAAATGGTGGGTTAGTCGAGGGTGTTGTGCCCGATGTAGAGATTATGGACCACAACTCAATAGACTAGAGGAGTGCGTGAGCTCCTAGATGTAGAACCCTTACCCGCGCCATGATGTCTACCACAGAGTAGAGGGTGCAATATACGAGGATACTCACTGATGTATATTATGTGATGGCTTGAGCATTCTATTGAATACATTTAGTATGATTTAGTTGTTAGTGTGACACTGAGCTAATTAGCTCAACGTTTGGAACTTGTTTCCTTACGCAGGTTAGTAAAGGAGCAGTTGAGGAGCCTTTTGTTCAATTGAGTTCCAGACTGAGTGCATCAAAGTAAGTCTAAGTTCTTCTTTAAAGGGCATATATATTTGTGAACCATTATACTCATTGAGTCATAACTTTATTTAAAATGTTGGTCTATATATTTTAAATTATTATTTTTGGGAGCTCCTGATGTAAACTATTTTATATAAATGTGGTCGATTTATTTTATCATGAGCACTTTTAAGGAAAACATGTCAATTAAGAAAAAATTTGGGTTAATAACTCCAGTGGTTCTGTGTACCATTCAAATCGATCGATTGTTTGTCGTACTATTTAGGATTTACAGGATTCACCTTCAAGATTTTGATCCACAATAATATATATATTTCTTTTTTGAGTAATTTGATCCATAATAATATTACACCAATAAGAGAGTTTTTATGTAGAGTGGGACAAAGGGTTAGGTCAAATAAGCAACTTTCTTGTTTGCATTAACTTAATCAGACACCCACACCCATCATTATTATCAAACAACCAACATTGGATGCTCATCACTTGTGTAAAGTTATAATGATTTCACACGATTTGTAAAGCCAAGGAGAAATGTAGAAAAAGAAATATAAAGTGTTCCGAAAACATTTAAAAACCCATAGACATTTTCACTATATTTATTAGATGATACCCTTCCCGTGATCTCTGTGGAGGATATGAGACGGTAGACTCTCGGAGGTGAATTACCGTCTCTCGGAGTTGCATTTATAACGAACTGCCTGAGAATTCAAGCAAGCATATTGCTATTGGCTGCTTCATAATATGGAAGATATAAGTGAATGATCACAATTGACTGATAACCTTGCATTTTCTATGAATTCCAGGTCCCAAATATGCAGCAAGCCTACACAAAGTCGAAATGCAAATCAGAAACCTGTTAAAGGTAGAAACTAAACCTTAATCATAAAGGTTCAGAAAGAAAAAAAAGCATGTCTTATGACTTACGTCTGTGATGAGAATACAAGGATATTAAAAATATAAGCTCATGAGAATACAAGGTTGATTATTGGGTGGCAAAATATATAAGTAGCACCTGTAATTGTAAGAATGAATGTGAAGGACATATTAAATAGCAGTTCAAGTTTCAACTGAACATAGAGGTACTGTCTAGAGACATTCAATCAGGTTCTACCAAATGAAAATGGAATTAAAAGACTAACGGTAAAATTTAAGGTTAAATACCTACTGCTTTGGGTGGTCACTGATATGGTATCTCAGAGACATGCCTTGAATCACTAGGAACTTCTGCCAATGGATTCATAATAAATCCACCGCCACCATGAAGTCGTAACCTATGGTTCTCAGATGTTTCATTGGAGTTTCTGTAAGCTCTATAACGTGTGGCAGCCATGGATTGGGTGCCAATGGATGTAGAAACCATAGAGGTATTGTATTGACCACCATCTGTATTCATCCCTGTTTTCCTCCAGAACTTGGATCTCAAAAACCCTGCAGCAGGAAATAGGCAACAAGTAGCCCGCTGGAGGTAGACATTCTCCCAGTTGAGACAGCCAAGTTATATGAGATCTCATCCAAAGCCAGTTCTAGACCGTGCACGCGAGTCTCTAGAGAATTTATTCCAGTCTGTGAGCTACCAATGAATCTCTAGACAAAAAGAAAGAAAAAAAATCAGGTGATATAAAACCTTGATGTGATAATTAGCATAATTAAAGTACATGCAGTAGTAATGCATAGGGGTACCAACTATTATTGTATTAAGCTCAAAACATGAAAATCAAATGTCAGGAGTACCAACTATTAATGCATAGGGGTACCAACTTTCTTTCAAGTTCAAAGAGATTGGTCGGAACCAGAAGTCTAGGAGATTTTAAATATCGGTGTATTTCAGTACAATTGATGATGCCAATACTCAGAGAGTTACTAAATCAATCCAAATTCAGTAATTTAGTTCATTTGCTTGTGAGTTAACTGTCACTTCAATAATGGAATGCATAAGCACCTTATGTTACTGAAAAAAGTTATCTTCAGAGATATATCATTATGACCCTCAAATTACAAGATGGTGAGGATATTTACTTTTCAAGGATTGGAAACAAACCTGCAGGAGATCTAGTAGGCTAGATTGCTGCTTTTCTATCTGAACCAGTTGGGTGCGGATCAAGGATAAATCCTCACAGTCTTTGTGGTTTGCACAGAGATTTTCAGAGGCATTACTAACCGCAACAGCAGATTCTGGGATTTCATCTTGACAAGGAGCAACACGAGATCCAGACTTTGAACCACCAATTTTTTGTGTTTTGTCATTGGAAATCTTATTACTGAAAAGGGACCGCCTTACTTGAGACTTTGCATATCTCGGATTCTCATTATTTCTCCTCTCCTTGAAACCGTCCTCATGAACCCCTGTCACAGTATTAGCAAACTCAACTCTCCAGTCTAGGGGCTTCTTGCCATTAACTTTCTGAACGGTTTCCTTTAAAATGGTTCTCTTCCAAGCTTTGGTTGCAAAGGAACTATCGGGTGGAGTTGACCTTTTCGTCAAAGAAGGTTTCTTAACTGCAATATCCGCATTGGAAGACAATTTAGCACCAGGCGAACAGTGTCTATCACTTGCATCCTCTGTTATGAGAACAGAACCAAATCCAGTAAAAATTCGTATCTATGTTACCAAAATGTTAAATATTCAATGAAAATGATCACATCATATCATTAATCTTCCCTGCAACTTGCAAAAAACAATTACAAAATAACCAGCTCATGGAAAAGATTCATTGATTCTATGCAACATTTCTAATTAAGATCTTCTTGAATCAACCAGATAAAATAGAAGGCATTAGCCAAGGTATCGAACTTCAATCAAGCAGAAGCAGATCATCATATACCTCTCGATGAAGACCGTGATCGAGGCGGTGGTGATGCCTCTTCTGAAACATCCGGAATCTGCTTCCAGGCCTCTAACATCTGACTCATAACCTCCCTGGCGGCCTTTACCTACATGGTAAACCAAAATATAAATGATCTTACTAGAATTTAGCTAAAAAAAATAATCTAAAAACGACTAGATTACTACATGCATGTGTTTTACATCATCATAATCATAACACTAAGAATAATAATAATAATAGATAAATGAATAAAAACCTTATCAAATTTTCTAGCCTCAAAGATTTTGATGCAATCAGTTTTGAACTCAGCTAATGAATCTTTCTCAACCACTGCTAACTTCCCAAGCGCCTCTGCCGCCGCCTTCCTCGTTGCCCAGTCCTCACTACTCAAGAACCCGATCAAACACCCCACCAATCCTTTCATCATCTTTTCACCCAAATTCGACGCCCCACCTGATCTGATCACACTCCCGATCACCACCAAAACTGCTGCCTTCGCCTTACAAGCATCACATTTCACGAGTTTCTCCAGCTTTGTTATCATCTTCCCCAGCCTAACCGGATGCGGGTCGGGTGATCCATCGATCGCGGCCGCCAAACACAATGCCGCCCCGATCTGCGCGTTCGGTTCTTGCTCCGTGAAAACCGCGTCGCTCAAGGGCTTCAGAAACGAAGATGAGAAGTTGCATTTGGTGAGGTTGGCGGAGAGAGCCGAGACGGCGTCGACGCAGGCAGAGCGGACGGCGGAGTTGGGATCCCTCAGACGGCGGAGGAGATTAGAGAGAATTTTGTGGAGGAAATGAGCGAGAGAATTTGGATAAGTAACCGCCAAAAAAGTAATGAGTTTCACGCATTGCTTACGGACCCCGCTTTTATCGGAGGAATCGACGGCGAGGATACAAGAAAGGAAAGTCGGAAGTGACGTGGCATCCAGGTTTCTAGCAACGGAGTCGAGCTCAGCAGCCGCGAGAGAGAAGGTGTCTCGGTCGCCGAGCTTGCTTAAAAGAGTGTTAATTTTGAGCTTAAAAGATTGCCCCAATTCTTCTCTTTGCATAATTTTCCGAGAGCAGCGGAGCAGCCGGCGGTACGGGTGGCGGTAACATTGGGCGATTCCCCAGCGATGGGATATCTCCGAGATCCGTCCAGGCCTTTATAATTTTAAGGTGAGGATGGAGAGTCGTTAAAAGAACTCCATAAAAAAAATGAAACGGTAGCGTTTTGAGTATTTTGGTAGATTTGTTTTTTTATCTACTTAATTGCATTACAATTTCTCAAAGTATAACCATCATTTTAAATTGATTCATAAACTTTAAAACATTTTAATTTCATCCTTAATTATGAGTATCTTTTAAATTAGTCCTCAAAATTTTTAACATTTCAATTTCATCCTTAAGTTATGACATTCATTTTAAATTAGTCCCCAAACTTTTTGAACATTCCAATTTCATTCCAAAATATATGTATATACTAATCACATCCATTGTTAATAAAATTACCAGGCCAAGTTATATTATTATATTTTTGAAGAAAAAACAAAATTTAGGTTAGTCTATGGTTAAAAATAATTATATATTTGGATGAATTTGGGGATAAAATAGGAATATTTAAAAGTTTTGGGACCAATTCAATAAAAAGGTTATAGTTTAGGGATGAAATTAAAACATTTAAAAGTTTAAGGACTAATTTAAAATAAGAGTTATAATTTATGGATGAAATTAGAATATTCAAAATTTAAGGATCAACTTAAAAATAAATATTATAATTTGAGGACATGTAATACAATAAAAAAAATTATTTAATTTTTGTTGTTTTTTTACTCTACTCAAGGTGGGAATAGGATTGTCAACATTCAACAATGATCAGGGAATAAGCAGATCTGACAAATGGCAATTCTTGCTTAGGATTTAATTAAATGTTCTCTCACTAATCAATTAATTTTAATTTATTCTTTTTAAAGCTCTTTATAAATATACAAATTTCCAATGAAAATATGATACAGTTAGAAGGAAATATAGTTCTTAGTTCCTTTTTCATGTTTTAAGTTTCTTTTGGAGGTTGAAAGATCTTTTTCATCACTAAATTTTCAATATTTGCCCATGAAGTTACCGACTAGATATCATATAACATATTTAACAAAGAAAAATTGGTGCAGCTAAAATCTAAGCTATTCAAATTTAGATTAGTGTTTGGAATGTGTCTCCAATATGAACGTATTTTAAAAAAAATGAATTGGAACATTTAGTTAGTTCTCAAGGCAGATGCTCTCTATATAATGACACATTTTATTTTTATTTTGTTTTTTATGCAGAATCTTGTTTGAGAATTTCAGATATAAAAAAAAAACAGTTGATATTACCAATCCAAGATGCAGAGGAAACACCATGGCAAGTTTGAGAATTTCAGATTTTGTTTTGGATATTTGTATACTTTTATTTTCGAATGTTTGTTTTCACATACTTTGATTTGATTATTTGTGTTTTGGATGATCATAGATTTCAAATGATTTTATTTGGATACTTTTATGTTAGATATTTTATGGATATTATAATTTTACGCATCTTATTTTTAGACATATTGATATTTGATTATGACATTGTCTAAGCATTTGACAATATTTTTTATAATTGGCTAACTTTATTATGCAATTTCATCTTGACAGCTTTATTTAAATTTTTATTTAACAAGTGAGATTTTTAATATTTTTTGATATTTTGTTATAACGTGGAGATTGTCGAACATACTTTGATATTTTGATATACCAAAAGTAATTGATATTTTGAATAAATTTTAAGATTATATTTGATTCAATCATTCGCATATATAAATTTTTTAAGGTCAGAAACTCCATGGTCCTTTCTTTATTGAAAAATTGAGTCATATATTAAAAATAATTTTGAAACAATTTTTCTAGGGGTTTTAAACTTCAATCGAGTCAAAAATTCATTTTAAGAACAATAGTACTGATACTACAAAAATAGTGTCGAAATTGTTCATGTAGTATCAGTGCAGTATTGATGCTAAAAAGTTAAAATACATTGTAGTGCCAATACAACTAATGTAGTACTGATATTCTCTTTGGTTTTGCAAAAACAATAGGCAAATTTAGTACCGATACTACCTATCACTGTAGTATCAATACTCCGACTGATAGTAATGATATTACCCTTATATTTTTCAAAATAACAAATTTCAGTAAGCAATTTTGATATCAATACTTATTCAAGTTCGATATTACTTATAACAATAGTACTAATACTTATTTGATGCAGTACTGACACCTTTTTACTCCAACTACTATATTTTGTAATTAATACAATTATTATGAGCAACATTTATTGTAGGAAACTTCATCCCAATGACTCTATTAACACTCACAACTACCCAAACAACTAGAATTGAATGAAGGGATATAAAAACAACATTGCAAGTCATATGTGAAGACAAGAGATCACAAAGAAAGCCAAAACAACATAGCCAAATTCAAGTCACTATTCTACAACATCCCTTTTGCTTTCAAAGAACACTTTTGTACTTCATTTGTATTTATTTCTCAAGGGTTCTTATTTGTTCTAGAATTTTGCAAACACATTCCTAGTGAGGTTTGCAACATGTAATTTTTCTCTTTGAGAGAATCTCTCAAGAATTTAAGGTATAATTCATGAGGAAGTTGCAAGATTACACCTTATCCTCAAAGGTTGCTACAAATTAGTGAATTTGTAAAAAATCCTTAGTGTGGATAGCTAAGGTAGTGGATGTAGACTTTGGTTTAGAAAGTCAAATCACTTTAAATTCTTGTGTTCAATCTTTTCATTTTTTTCTTTAAGCTACCACTAAAATTTTTATTTGCTAATTTACCCCCTCTTGGCTATTTTCTCCATTCGACCGACTCAACAATATATCCACATATTTTTACTTGTACATGATTTCTACCTAAATGGTGTATTAACCATAACTGCATGATTTCTAGTTTACATGCTTTTTAAAAAAAAATTAAAGCGAGTAAGGATTAAGGTTGATTTCTCCTTTGTGTACATCTATTTAGGAATTTCCTAGGGTTTCAAAGTGGTTTTGAACCATGTTAATTTTTACAATTCATTATAAGTATGATTTCAACTCTAAGGATAAAGGTACTCAAATTATCCTTGTTGTTGCCCATTTGGCTCAATAGACCCTCGTTCCTCACCCATTATAGGCTTATATGGATTGAGTTAAATTTGAGGGGATGCACCTCTCTATGCCTGACATGGAGAAACATATCTCACAAAGACATGAGGTGTGAACCCTAAAGGTTACTTCCTAAGCCTGACACGGGGAAACATTTCCTACAAAGGTGTTGCTTTCACCCACATTTTAAAGGGACAATCTAGGTATATATCTTATGTCATGCAAATGCAGTGTAGTGTGTGAGGAGAAATCTACCAACTTTTAAGACACATAAACTAAAAACACAATCTTTAGAATTAATCCATAAAACTAAAGGATCTAAAACATATTAGTACTAACAATCACAAGTGTGCACATGTGAATGCAATTAAGGTTTAAAATGAATGCTTATCAAGACCAACAATCAACCAAGGGATCAAGAATTAAATTAAGTTGATTCATAATTTCCATTGCACCAACAATAACTAATTAGGTAATGGCTCAACTTTCTAAATTTCTCAGCTAAGTCGTCAAGTTGTCATAACGTCCTGTAAAATTGAAAAAATAAGTTTAAAGTTCATTTTGAATAAAATTGGGGTTTTCTTTAAAAATAAAAAAATATGGTTGAGGGAGCACCATCAATCTTTGTTTAGTTATTGGATCCACAAAAAAATTTTGTGTTATTAAAATTATCTTAAAAATTATTAGAACAACTTCTGATCTACTTTAAAAAAGAGTTTAGGAATCATTATGTGTGGAGAGTTTAGCACCCTCACAATGCCCAAAAATCGGTACTTAATCTATTAATTTATTTTCTTTACAATGGAATTTATGAATTCAAATTTTAATTCCGATTGGTTAAATACAACGTTATTTAATTGAATAAGGTTCTAAAGAGAAAAGTCAACAATTCATTTATTTAACTGGAGAGAGTTAACTCCCAAATATAAAATAGGAAAGTGGTCTCTCATTTCCAACCATAACAGTGAATTACCAATATTTTTCTCAAGAACTTTAAGGAAAACGACAACATTTTCTTTTTCCCTTATAATTAAGAGTTGTGTTTAATCTATTAAGACTGCAAAAAAATATATTAATAAAAATAAACTACAAACGATGTTCACCTTTGAGTAAGGTTGAATGATCTATCCTCGTTAAATTTAAATATAAGAACATTTCTCTTGCTACCCTCCTGATTAATATTAAAGTATCATTATTTTAATTAGTTTCACTAGAGGATTTTTTTTTTGAATAACTAGAATTCAACTACCAGTTAGGTTAGAACAACCCTTTTCTATAATTTAAAATAAACAAATATTACCTTTTAATTAATTATGAAGAGTATCATATTATGCACGTGAGACTATCATGCTTTTCAATTAAATATAGATGTCATGCAAGCAAAAAACAAGCTTTATAGAACATTATTAAAACGTAAAGTAATATAATTCATTTAATTAGCCATGCTTGAGTTATAATACTAAAAATAAACATCAATTAAATAATTAAACAAAAATTAGGGATTAAATTGAATTAAAATAAAATTACAGGACCAAAATACAAGAAAAATTGTATTACCCCAAATTTGGTTAGTGACCAAAACGTAAATTTTGAAAGTTTAGTCGCCAAATTATAAATTTGGTAAAGTTATGGGAACAAAGTGGTAAGTTTCCAAAAAAGAAATTTTATTCCATAAATGAATAGTTCACTCCCAAGAATAGAGTTTTCGCGGGAATTAGATTTTAGATCTAGAATTTGTGTTAAAAGCTATAAAATGTTAAAGTCCACTAAAAATTCAGTAAACCAGATCGAATTAGAGTTTTGAGAAATATTGAAGGATGATAAAATTAAGCTTAGAAATATTATTTCCACATTTTAAAATGATGGAAAATGATATAGGGCATTGGATTTCGGAATTTATTTCCATGTTCATTTTGGACTGTTAGATGAAAAATGACAAGATTGAAATTTTTGAAAAAGTTCATGGGTAAAGTT